TTGAAGTCCGGAAGGAGCCTGCCATCGACACCGTCGAAGGCGTCCCTCGCCGTTTTAAGGGATTCGTAAATGTACTCGTTGATGGTTTCTGTGGGGATGTCACTGACGGTTTTCCCGACTACGATTTCTAGCATTTCGGTGAGACGGATGATGTTCGATCTCTTCTGTCTATATCTCATGTCGGCGGGGAATCTACCAAGCCTAACTTCCGTTCTTCCATTGCTATCACGCAAAAACGCAGGGTGGCGAAATTCAATGCTCGCGTGACGGATTTTGGCAACTATGTATTGTCCTGTCATATTGGAATCTGCAACAAACTATTAGAAGAAATTTCGGAGCGGGAACAGGAGGAAAATGCTGCTGAGTAGGATTTTGAATGGAGATTAAAATTTCTCAAAAATTCGCCGTATTGATGATTATAGTATTGAAATTGATATATTAATTGTTTCACAGTACGGTAATGAAGCGATCACTTGTTGTTATCATATTACATTATATGCGAGGGTGACGCTAGTACCTGGCCAGGCTTTTCCTACGCTCATGAAAGTAAGAAATAGGAGAGCATAAGTTCTTGTCACTATTATTAAGTGTTTTGCTTCGTGATGGCCTCGCATTATAAGAGCGTATTCAGTGACATGCGCGATATATAAGAGAATGGAATAGAGATATAGGAAGTTAATGTTAAATTTACGACGGATTTAGGATGGGTAGTTTCTTTGCCAAGTTTCTAAGATGAGAAACTTGGTGCGGAACTTCCATGTAATAAAATAACGTACTCCATGATCTTTTCGCGAATATATACGAAGAGAAGAAGAAGAAAACAACCATAAAGCAGCCAGAAATAGGATCCGAATGATATGACGCCAAAAACCACATGCCAAAATTCAAATTATAACACTCGGCTTGACCGCGCCGCGAACGCGCGCGCCTGCCTCAACTGCACTAGAGAGCTGTTCACATTCCGCTTAAATACTTCCATATAAGAATTTTGAAAAAAAAAGACTTCTTACACATCAGCGCTTCATTTCAGGTTTTTAGATGTCCGCCAATAAAATACTCCCCGTTATTGCGAGCCGCTTCAGCAGAAAACGATCAAGATCGTCGTCTTCCTCGCCCTCACCACCATCATCCCCGATCCGCTCTATCTCTTCCTCCTCCTCATCAAAATCCTCTTTCTTTTCAAGTTCACCTCTTTCTTTAACCTTTATCTGTTGTGGTAGATAACAAATCTATATGTACTCTTCCTAACCCTACCCCCGCCCAAACCGAATCATCGCCTCTCCCTGCTACCTCCAAAACTCTCCAGCAGGTTTTGGCGGAGCTCGTCTACTTTTCCCAGCATTTTCCCCCCTCCTTAAGCCTTTTGTATTTAAACCCAACACCCAAACTCCGCATAGGTAACTAAGCCCTGAACCACTTTTCAGCGCAAGAACTTGCTGGTCCAGACCTCCACGACCCCCATCGCCTCGCACTCCCCGTCCAAAAAGACCTCCCATACATCTTAACCCATTCTTCGACCTTCCTCCTGCACAAACTTCCGTCAACCAACGTAATCCCTCGACTACTCCCCCTATTCCAACTCAGACCCTTAACATAAAATCTAGCCCCTCCTCTACTCGCTCTTGCCTTTGCGAACTACCCATCCTACGCCACAATGTGCAGCTCCTTTACCCTTTGCAACAAGAGCATCCAACTCAACG